TCTACTACCGCCCCCACCCGCCGGAAAGTTCCTGGCACTCAACAACGCCCCCTTGACGCCGCGGATCTCCGTCCGGAAATTGGCGATGGCATCCTCCTCCCCTTTGCCCAACCCCAACCCCGCGTTCCCGTTAGTCCCGGATGTATTCGTAGCGTCCATCCCGGGGGTACTGAACACCCCATACCCGGCCATGGGGTTGAACATGGCCCCCGCCCCGGGTTTACTGTAGATGTAGGTATCCAGGTAGTGGTGGAGGTCGTTCAGCTTGGCGCGGAGGGCGGTGTCGAGCTCCGAGGCGGCATGGTCGGTGTCCGTCAGGGAGCGGAGGTGGGCCGTCAGGGTGTGCATTCTGGCCGTGTGGGTGCGGGCTTTTGCGAGGGGGGTGGGGTCTTCGTTTGTGGTTGCTGTGATCAGGGAGGGTTGGGTGGGTTCGAGTTGGGGATTGGGACTGGGGCTGGGGCTGGGGCTGGTCTGCACGGCGACGTCGCGGTGGAAGAGCTCCGTTGGGTCGGAGGTTATGGATTCCGTGTCTTCGTCGTCTGCGCCGCCTTCGGGGTTGGCGGGGGCGTTGGTGCTGCTGGGAGGCGGGGGGATGGTGGAGACGACGGATTCGAGTTTCGTGTTCAGGGTGCGCAGGTTGGTGGTCGTGGTTTCGGCCAGGTCGCGGCGCGCCGCGGTCAGTTGGGCGATCATCGGTTTCACCAGGTATTCGCTGGCGGCGTAGAAGGTCGTTGCTAGGCCGGCGGCGCCGTAGAGGGTGTACAGCGTGCTGCGTAGGGTGATGAGCGGCGGTTGCGTGGCGGGCGTGGTCAGGAATTCCGGGTAGGTGATTATTGGGGGGATGTCGCGGGGTGGAGGTGGGGTGGGTGAGGTGGTGGTTGCTGTTGTTGCTGTTGAGGAGGGGGAGGAGTGTGGTGTAGATGCGCTGCTGCTGCTGCTGCTGCTGCTGCTGCTGGGAGCTTCGTGGTTGTTGGCGACCTCGGGGTTACTGCTCAGCTCCTCCGAGGTGCTGGACTCCTCTGGGGACTGGCTTAGGAGCAGGTCAATCTCGTCGTTGCGCAGGCCCTTGGACTCGAGGAATGTTCTCTTGCGTTCGATGGGGGCGTCGCGAATGGAGTCATCCTGGAGGAACTTGGCGGCTTGGTCGAGGAGCGCTGGGCGCTCCTCGGTGTCGTTATCATCTGCGCTTGGGTTGGCGGTGGTGCCAGTGCTGCTACGCTCCGAACCGGCATTGGACTTTTGCCACTCTGGGATTGAGGACTTTGGCTTGTCTGCCATGGTCGTCACGCAAGGAAGCTGTAAGGTGAGAGTAGAGTGGAGTGAAGATGGAAGGAGGAGGAGGAAGTGCGGAGTCCGGCAGGCGGAGATGGACAGTCAGTCAGATAAACCTCGGCTGTATCGACCGAGCGTGATAAGACCAGCCCTGCCCCGAATTCGGCCTGGGTTTGCTGCTAAGCATGACTTGAATATTGTGACTTTGGGGGCCATGAATATGATTATACAGTTGGAGAGTAAGAAGTTACCATCATGGTTTCATACTATACATAGATAGGTAGCGAGAATGATTTCTTTTGCGTCAAACATCTTGGGTTTAGCATGTGCATGCCGAGATGGGCGTGGATATATCTGGGAGGGATCTGTTTCGGTTGATCAGTTCCTACGCTTGAATAGTCCTCTGTCCATGTCCGCAGATGTCAGACACTCCAAGTCAAGCCAAGCGAGCTCTTGAAACACTGCGATATACTCCTGCTCTTGCCCATCACACCGAACAACAATAAGCCAGCTCAATGGAAGTATGAAGTATAGAAGAAGAAGAGAAGAAGGGATGTAAGCAAATACCGCCGCAAACGCCAAGGATACCGACCGCCCGGCACAAAGTGGCGGCGGTGAAGGGGCAACCGAAGATTATTCGATCTTCGCTCATCATCGATGAATGAAAGGATGGATACGGAGTACATGACTTAGATTGTTGGGTTCAGAATCAGGATCAGGGCTGAGACCGACTGCTTCGATTCGCACGATCGGCCGTGACCGCCGCATTATTGATCAGCCCTCCGTTTGATCCGTTTGAAGTGACTGTGGTTGGAACGGGACGCCTCGTTCTACCCTTGAAGCCGGTAAGTGAATCTGTTGTTGTCTCTCATTGATTTCCACCCATTCACCCCATCCCACCCCATCCCATCCCATTCATTTGACTGTCTCTGCTTCTCGTTTTTAAGTTGCACTGGCTTGCTGCGTGATCGAGACATCCAGGAGAAATCCTTGGATAGACTGCCCCTGCCCCTCCTCCTTACCCCCAGTCCGGATCAAGCCTCCCTCGCCCATCGGAGCAGGAAACCAAAACCATTCCTTGGGTGATCCGGGGTTGCGCAACAGCAACGGACTGCAGCGCCGTTTGGGTTCACCCTCTGAGAACAAGGAGGCCGAGAATCCTCCCATTGGCTCCCAGGCCTCGTGAATCAAATGAATCAAGTGGCTGCTCAATCGCCATCTGATTGGGGTTGGGGTTGATTATCCATGCTCTGCCTGTGCCTTGCCGCGTCGCACTTCTTCGCCTCATTGCTTCCCTGCCCCTTTTCTCTTCGATGAAAGAGAGGATGAGAGAAAGGGAGAAAGAAAGACAGAGAATGTGGTGGAGATGTGAGATGTGGAAGGAAGGAAGCGAAAGTCGAAAGTGAGGAAAAAGGAAGGAAGAAGATGATGATGACGACGAAATTGCTGATGTACCAACCAACAACAATACATCAGCAGCAGCAGCAGTCAGAAAGACCTCTCCTTCTGATAGATGGACTGCGCTTCACTCCCCTCATTTGATTTCTCCCTCCGCCTTTCTCTTCCCTCCAACACCTCCAACACCCTCATTTTCACTCGTCCATCCTTCGCGATTGTAATTTCCATCTCCCATCTCCCCAATCCCCATCACACCTCACCACTATCACCCCCCGTATCTCCTCTCCTTAGCCTTATTTCCCCGCATCACATCCTCGCATGGGCCCTAGAAGGCTTTGTTTGCTTTTTCGCTTTTCTGCCTTCAACTACTTGTTCACTTTCCCTCTGTCTATCCGACGTGCAAGTGACGCAGCTGTTGTCCGCCCGCGCAAATTCCCTCTGGACCCTTGACTATAAATCACTCGTTACGGAACCTCGCAATTACTCATCGCCTCTCCTAATTTTCCCTTTCAACCCACCATGTCGCTCCGTCGCTCACTGCGTTCCCACGGGGGGCGCAATGATCAATCAAGCATGATAGATATTAACGACTCTACCAGATCCACAAGAAGCACCCGCGCTGCCGCTGCTGCTACTACTGCTGCCACTGCTGCTTCATCCACCCCCGCAGTGACCGCGGTCTGTGTTCCATCAGACGTATCCGGGGAATCATCCAAGCGATCGATTCATCTGACCGTCAAGATGCCCTCCAACAAGCTCAGAGAAGTCACCGGGGGAAGCTCCCGAGGGGCGCCTGCCACTCGGCGCTCGGTGAATGTCTTCACCGAGAACCCCATCATCACGGGCCCCCGCACTAGCCGGCCCAGGAAGAAGCTGGTCGAAGTAGACACCAGCGACGAGGATGATCTCGAAGACCAGGAAGAGGACGAGGTCGACGATGAAGATGCTCCCGGTGAGGACGAGGATGACGAAGATGAGGAGGAGGACGAGGAGGACGAAGAGGAGGACGAAGATCTCGATGCTGAAGGGGATCTCGACATGGATGATGCCCCACCGCAACCCCCAGTGCCTAAGCGACATGCGAAAGCAACAGCAACTGCTGCTGCCGCTGCACCCAGTGCGAAAGCAGTCAAGAGTGTCGAGGAGAAAGAGATGGAGTTGGACGACGACGATGACGATGATGACGAGGAGTTGTCGGAACCAGACACTGACGCCGAGGGCGAGCCTGATGACCAGGACGAGAGTATGCTGGTGACCGGGAATGGAGGCGAGGAGCTGGACGAGGAGGATGAGGACGATGAAGACCTCGACAGTGACGGGACGCCGACTGCGGATCTCACTCGCATGACCAAACGACAGCGAGGGAACCTGGGAAATGATTTCTTGCAACTCCCGATGGGTAGGATCTCCGTATCACTGCTCATCCGGCCATGACTAACTGACCGCAAATAGAACCCCAGGTTAAGAAGCACCTGACCGCAGAGGAGCGCGCTATGCGCCGTGCGGAAATGGCTCGCCGCCGAAAGAACCTTAGCGAGAAGCGGAACGAAGAAGAGAAGGTGTGTGACCCTTAAGCCTAATCGAACCTTGCCAAGCTCATGACCCCCCGTGCGCGCACTAACCACCGTTCTAGATGGATACCATCAACCGACTGCTGCGCAAGCAGGCCCCCAAGCGTCGGGGACGCATCCCCGCCGCCGAGGCTGCCGAGAATGCCACCGCCGATCAAGAGATCCAGGAAGCATATTCAAAGCCGGACCCCACGATGGTGCGCTGGGTCAGTGGCCGGGCTGGCAGCCGCGTGGGCGTGCCGGAGGAGTGGGTTGGCACGCCGGCTGCACAGGTCTTCGGCGCTGGGCCGGGCAAACTTGTCCAAGAGGTATAGAAAGGAGGGAGGGATAGTTTCGGCGGCGCACAATCGGAGCGGAGGCGTTTTACTGGGGGTCTTACAACCAGGAAGGGACATGTATTCTAAATTGAATGATTTCTTGTTTATGTGACTGTATGATACAATATGATAGTATACATGATGGCCTTTTGCTTTCTTTCGGTGGAGCATGTCTTCCTCGAGGGAGCCTCCTCTTTCCCCACAAGCAGAGTATTTGACACGTCTGGTGCATAACAGCCAACAGTACCCGCGATGCCATGGGACTCTTCCAGCTCCCCCCGGGCCCAGTGAGAGCACAGCATATAGCGAAGTGCTCATCCGCACCGCTCAGCAGCATGCCTGGCAAGCACCTTGCACCTTGCACCTTGCACTTTGCACCATGGCGCCAAAATCTAGTGATATATCCATCCATCCAACCAACCTCAAAACCACCCCCCCCCTCTCACTGCCCCGCTGTCTTCCCCGACCCCGAATCTCCTGTCGCAGAGGGAGGAACCGCCTCCTGAGGTGTCGGTGTCGGTGTCGGTGTCGATGTCGGAACTTGCGACTGCGGCGCCGACTCGGTAGATGTCCTAGAGCATTTCCCCCAACCATCAGCATCGATGCTATACAGCATGCCCCCTTCCCCTTGGTTTTTCTGTCAAGTAATCCTCCCCAATCCCAGGCCTAAATATCCATATACCCCCTCCGACCTCAATCCCAGGGAAGTGTGGATCGGAAACACATACGGATTCAACGACTGCTGGAGCTGGTGTTGTTGGCGCTGCTGCATCTCCTTGAAATACGGTTGCCAGACGTAGTACCCTACCCCCCGGAAGATTGTCAGTTCTGGGGTAGCGAAGGCGCCGGCTCAGCCGGGCACTTTTTGGGGGGGGGGAGCAGGAGCCGGAGCAAAAGCAGGGAAAGAATGTATGTAACGCACCGCCGAGGACGCCGGCGCCGATGGATAGGGCTACGGGGACGAAGTTGCGGCTCATCCTTTTTTTTCTTTCTTGTGAGCTGAGGTTTGGGAGGGAATGTGAGGTGGTGTGGATGTCGTGCTTTTATCTGTACAATGCCGCTGGACTGCGCTTGACTCGGAGAATAGAATGCCAGTCAGTGTCAGTGTCAGTGTCAGTGTCAGTGAGGATCTCCGGGGCCGGAGGGAGCTTATCGGGCGGGGAGGGGTGGCAGAACTACTTTATTCGGTTGACAGTGCTGGACTCTGGATCGGGATAATGGGGTCACGTGGCGAGGCATTGATATGGCTGTACCTGTTACTGGTTACTGTAACTACTCCGTGATCGTCAGGGGCATGAATTTCGAAGATGGTATACTTGTGAGAATACAACAATGGACAAGGATCTAAGACCAAGAGAAGGAAGGGAAGAACGCAAATCTCGTAACTCATCATTAAAGCCTGACCTGCTATCTATAACTATCCTGCCAAGGGAAGAAAAGTGTTCAACGCAACAAGATGTACTGTACTTTTTGTTGTAAATTGATGACTGTGGTTCAAGAAAGATCCACAGACATAAGCATCATCATCAATGGTTCATATGCCTCGAAGAGCAAAAAAAGGAAAGGTTCGGTGGCATCATAGATAATCTATCTCGTGCTCTCTCGCACACCCCTAGCATCCCCTGGGCAATTCTAGCCAAGGAAAGAAACCCAACACGCCTGAAAGTAGGTAAGCTTAGTAGACCACCTCCTCCAGAGTCCGCGCCTTGCGCGGGAACACCCGCTTGTACAGACTGATACCGATGGAATCCTGGGGATTGATCTTGGCATCGAAGGTGGCCTTGAAGTAACCGTGCGTACCGAGGGACTCCTTGATGAAACCGCTGCGGCCGCGGCGGGTCCACAGCTGCATGGCCTTGAACCACTGAATGTCCTCGGAGTTGAAGAACATGTACCGCACGGTGACGACGCGCTTGTGGATCTTGTACGGGTGGCCCGTGAGAATGGCGCGCTTGGCCACGACGCGGTTCTGGTCCGGGGCGATGACGGTGCCGTTGCCGATGAGCTCGAGGCGGTCGAGACGGGGGCTTTCTTCTGCCTCGTCGACGGCGTCGGCCATCTCCTCCGGGTCCTCGGCGGCGGCGGGTTTCTTGTTCTTGAAGACGAGCACGGGCACCGCGCCCCAGGTCAAGGGGCCGATCCAGGTGGCGACGGCGCTGCGGCCGGGGTGCAGGAAGCGGTCGAATTTGTGGACGTTGTTGGGGGTGTTGTCGCCCGCGGAGAAGATCGGGTTGACGACCAGGCGGCGCGGGCCGTACTGGACGATCAGTTCCTCCTTGGACTTGAGGGGCTCCTCGACGCTCGAGTTGAGGTGCATGTTGATGTTGACCACCGTGTGCTTGTGTTCGTGACGCAGCAGCGAGAAGAGGGAGAGGGGTTGCGGGCGGTTGCGGAGGGCGGCGGGCACAGCGCGCAGGTGCACATCCACCCGCGCACCGGGGTTGACGCCGCCGACGAGAGCTTCGCGGAGGAACTTGTTCCTCGCGCCCTTGTAGTCGGCGAACTGGAGCAGTCGGCGCCAGTCCTCGGGCTCGTGCGCGCGGTCTTCGGAGGTCTCCCACGGGCTGGTCTTGAAGTTCTTCAGACCGCGGAAGCGGGCCAAGCGCTCGCGGGCGAGAACGTTGGGGTGCAGCTCGATCTCGTCAGGGAACTCCAGGTCCTCCTCGGCCTCGTTGCGGCGGCTGGCCCGGTATTCCTCCAGCTGTCGGGCATCATCCTCGGGCGACGGATCAACGAACATCTCGGACTGGGGATATTCCGAGGGACCAGCCTCCGTCATGGCATCCCCGTGGTCTGGGAACACACCGTCCTCAGGGGCGCCGCCAGTGTCCATCGTCTCGTCACCCATCGCAACGTCCTCCTCATCCTCCCAGTCGGATCCCGAGTCGGAGATGTTGTCCAAGAACCATGCGGACTGATACTTGGAAGTACCCTTGGGCAGTCTCTTGGGCTTGGGCAGGCTGTCTTCCTCATCCTCGGAGAAATAGTGGTGGTCGTCCAGGAGGACACCCTTGCGCTCCTCCCCAGCGAAGGAGTACTCGTCGTCCTCCATCTCGATCTCTTCGGGAGCAACGGTGGCCATGTCGTCGTGATCCGCCGTAGGCGAGTCCAAGAGCTGCGGCGCCTCGTTGTCATCCACGTTCATCGCATCTTCCCGCTTGCTTCGCGCCGTCGCGAGAGGAGCTGCTGTGATAGAGTCGACCTGGAAATCACCCCAGCCGGGGATGTGAACGAGGCGATCGGCCTTCAGGCCCTTTCCGCGTACGACACCGGTCACGACCACATCGTCCACAACCTCGGCGCTGTTCTCGGGCCATTGCACATTTTCGATGAGCATCCAGCTGCGCTCGTCGCGCCAACGGATACCCTTGGGGGCGGCCGTGCACAAGGAGCGAACCGCGTTGGAGCATTCTTGACGAGAATCCACGGAGAGAACCTTTTCGATGGAGGGGAAGAAATGGCTGACGAAAGACTTGAGGGATGCCGCAACCTGGGGACGCTTCTTCGGTGGGTTGATCTTATCAAGGCCCTATGAACGGACATCATTAGCACGTGAGCCATACACCACCCGTGGACCGTAGGAACGCACCTGAGCCACAGCAACAACGTTGGAGATACCCTGACCCTCAATGGATCTAAGCAGCAATTCTCCCTCTTCCTCCACCTCGACCTGGGAGGAAAGCGCGAGCACCACGAAATCGGCCATCCGACACGCATCCAGCGCGCTCATGAGGTCGTACTTGGCCGGAATGTACTGCAGGCTCTGGCGGAATCGCTCGACGCGCACACGAGAGATCTGATCGGCGGAGACATCGGCGGAGACGTCGACGCTTTCGTTCAGGGACCGGATGACGGCGGCGACATCGATATCGACGGAGAGCGGCACAACGGCAACATGGCGGGGGGCGCCGTTCTGACCGGAGAAGATGCTGGTCGACTGAGCCTTCTCCTGTTGTTTCAGCTGCTGTTTCTGGCGAGCCTGGTTCCTCCGATCGAGTTTCGACATGAGCTGTTGGTGAGGGGTTTTGCGGGTGCCCCGCTCGGGCCTTTCAACCTTGCCTGGAGATGATATTTTAGCGGCCCAGGAAGTTTTATTTGGTAGAGCGATAGATATGTAGGGAGATAGACGCACCCTTCTCCTTATCTTTCAAAGCACTCTTCGAGGCATGGCGAGTCTTGTAGGGCTTGTTGGAGGATTTGGTGGTGGAGCGGTGGTGGTGTTGCACCGCTTGAGTGGGCGCCATGTTGGCACCGCTGGGCGCTTTGAACCGGAAGGGAAGAGAGGCCAGCGTGGGAAATTCGCAGATATTGGTGAGCCTGCAGAAGAGTCCGTCTTCCAGAAGCAAAGAGAAAGAGCCAAAAGAGCCTGAGGTTGAGACTCAATCCAATCGGGCCCGATTGTTGACTTTTGGTCTGGGGAAGAGGAAAGAAAAAAATAAGGCGGTGGAGACACAAGCGAGGGAACCGACAGGCAGAAAAAGAAAAGTTCGGCTCGGATTTTTATTGCAGATCGCAAGTGACTGTTGGTCCTCAAGTCAAACGTCAACTTTCGACAGCTTAGAGGAAATTTCTCACCCAGACCTCTCTTCACCGGATCTCATAGAATCCTCAGCGCTCACCTCCCACCGCCCGCAATGTCGGAATCCACGCCGACAAAGGCCATTGCGCCGACGGCCAACACCAACGCCAACCCCAACAAGCGCAAGGAAAGCAAAAGAGTGATCGAAGCGCAAAAGACCTACGGCCGCGGCAAGGGCATTCACACCCACAGCATCCGGGACAAGAAGCTGCGCAGCAACCTGAAGGCCGTCGAAGCCAAGTTCAAGGAGGCCGCGCTCCGGGCCAAGGATGCGGAGATCCTGCTGGAGCACGAGGCCGGATTCATCGAGACCGAGGGCGAGTTGGAGCGGACGTACAAGGTCCGTCAGAGCGATATCCGGGATAACGTGGGCATCGAGACGGCCAAGAAGGGGTTCGAGCTGAAGTTGACCGACATGGGACCCTACCGCTGCGACTACACGAGGAACGGCCGCGAGCTGCTGCTGGCGGGCCGCAAGGGCCATGTTGCGACGATGGACTGGCGGAACGGCAAGCTGGGCTGCGAGTTGCAGCTGAACGAGACCGTCCGGGATGCCCGGTGGCTGCACAACAACCAGTACTTCGCCGTCGCACAGAAGCGATCCGTCTACATCTACGATCACGCCGGTGTGGAGCTGCACTGCCTGAACAAGCACCTCGAGCCGCTCTTCCTCGAATTCTTGCCCTACCATTTCCTTCTCGCCAGCGCGGTAAGTATCTTTCGAGGCCTTGATTCAATATCCCAGACTAATATCTCAAACCCATTAGCAAATGAGCGGCTACCTCAAATACACCGACACCTCGACCGGTCAAATGGTGGCCGAGCTTCCCACGCGCATGGGAGCGCCGACCTCCCTCGCCCAGAACCCCTGGAACGCCATCCTGCACGTCGGCCACCAGAACGGCAGCGTGACGCTGTGGTCGCCGAACTCGCAAACGGCGCTGGTGAAGGCGCTGGTGCACCGCGGCCCGGTGCGGTCGATGGCCATCGACCGCCAGGGCCGGTACATGGTGTCGACGGGCCAGGACCAGAAGATGAATGTGTGGGACATCCGGATGTTCCGGGAGGTGCACTCGTACTCGTGCCACCAGCCGGGGGCGTCGGTGGCGATCAGCGACCGCAACCTGACGGCGGTGGGCTGGGGCACGCAGGTCAGCGTGTGGCGCGGGCTGTTCGACGCGGCGCAGGCGGACCAGGGCAAGGTGCAGAGCCCCTACATGGCGTGGGGCGGCGACGGGCAGCGCATCGAGAACATGCGCTGGTGCCCGTTCGAGGATGTGCTGGGCGTGGGCCACGACCAGGGCTTCGCCAGCATCATCGTCCCCGGCGCGGGCGAGCCCAACTTCGACGCCCTGGAGGCGAACCCCTACGAGAACACCAAGCAGCGCCAGGAGGCGGAGGTGCGCGGCCTGCTCCACAAGCTGCAGCCGGACATGATCTCGCTCGACCCCAGCTTCATCGGCAAGCTGGACACGATCCGCGATCAGAAGAACCGCGAGGAGCGCGACCTCGACCGCAAGCCCGA